CGCGCGTGTTCGTCTACCCTCCCCTCCCTCCCCCCTGCGCGCGCGCGCGTTCACTCACTCTCCTGCTCGCACTTGCGGACGGCGGCGAGCACGGCGTCGACGTACGAGCGTTTCGTCATTCCCGTCGCGGCGTCGGCGCGAGGCGTGCTGCGCAGCTCCGCGTATCTCACGCCGTCTGCCGCCATCTCCCGGATCGTCTCGTATGTCGTCTGCGCGGAGAGAAGCAGAGATTCGAGATAGAAGTGAAGATAGATTAGATAGGATAGAGGCGGGGCGGCAGACGAGAAAGATTACGGGGGTGCTTTTTTCGTAAAGGAATTATTTCGGAAATAATTGCACAGTCAAGAAAAATACAGTCTCATATCATAAGTCTCACTTTAATAGTCTCATTTATAAATTAAATTATAAAAATATGGTCTCACTTAATAGCAAGCATGTTACTGATTGCTCCAGTATGAAAATTGCCATAAGTTTGTGCTGTTATGGCGAATGAGAAGCGTGGGCAGAAAACGGCAAAAAAATAATGTGGCAGTTTTTTTTCATAGAAGATTATTAGAATTATTTTACAAATAACTGCACAATCGAGAAAAATACAGTCTTGTGTAAGTCTAAAAGTAAATATATAGTAATAAGTAAGGTATAAAAGTAAGGCTAGTAAAGTACAAGTATAAAAATATAGTCTCACTCAATAGCAAGCATGTTACTGATTACTCCAGTATAAAAATGTCCATGAGTTTGTGCCATGGTATATAAAATACCAAATAATGCACACGATTGCCATTTCAGTTAGATTTAGATTAAGAGGTTAGCCACATTCTTTCATATAGCGATTATTTGCTTGAAATCAGCAACCACATCTCATTGAGTGATGTAGTGGTGTTAGACTGGTGAACATCTCTATTGCTTAAAACTCAAATTACTATGTCAAAGTACAGGGACAGGGTCTTGCGAGGGAGTACCAAGTGGCATCATCAGGTAACCGCGTCAACGCGATATAAACAAACAGATTTTGCAAGGAGCGAGACCTTTCATTTGACCCTCTAACATCCCGCTAACAGTTATACCTATTTACTCACCAAGAACATGGACTCTACGCTCGTGTTTAGCGCATGAATAATCTTGAACTTCTGGAATAACCTGCAAACAAACCACGAATAGTTGACGAGCACTACAACGTGTACCATCCACCGAGTCACGTCCTCGTTGCTATCCAAAAAGCATGTCTCTATATAATATACCATAACAAAATTGTAATTAAATTTAAGCATGCCCGTAGTATCTTATATTAAATAGAGACAAGCTATATTGAGATAGCTACTAAGAATGAATCTTTTCATGACACCTGTGAGCTTGTGATCTTCACCATTCACGTAGACATACAATTCCGACTCGTAAAAATCGAAACCAGTTAGTCAGGTTATGAAAACCAAATCGTGAAATTACTGCCGGTGACAATACATCTTGCTGCCACGATAATCCGATCGACCGAATTATATCCCAAATAACATGCTTACGTTGAGCCAACGTTGGCATTTGGTTGGCACGGCCACGGTTGGCAATATGACGTTGGGCCAACGTTGGGCCAACGTTGGCATGGTCACAGTTGGCATGTGGTTGGCAATATGACGTTGGGCCAACGTTGGCGTATGGTTGGCATGGTCACGGTTGGCAAGTGGTTGTCTGCATGACGTTGGGCCAACGTTGGCGTATGGTTGGCATGGTCACGGTTGGCAAGTGGTTGTCTGCATGACGTTGGGCCAACGTTGGACCAACGATGGCCCAATGTTAGGCCAACGTTGACTGCCAACGTTGGGCCACTGTTGGAGCGCTGAGCAAAAATCCGTTGGCCCAAAGTTGGCATGAGCTGAAGACAGCCAACGTCAGCATGTTATCTGAGATTGATGTTAAAAATTTTGATCGGCCTCCACCTTTGCGCTTTACCCGCTACTTACTCATCCAGGGTGATGTGTTCTGTAACAAAATACTTGCTGACATCTAGACATGGTTCTCCCTTGGCTTCCTTTAGGCGAACTAGCTTCCGTACTGTGCTCGTGCTGATACAGGCGTTGATGTGTGCATGCAACTCCTGCCAAGAAGAAATACACGTGTAAGAGAGAGAGAGGAGACAGACCTTCGAGAATGATATGGCAAAGGATTGACAAGCAGACAGTATGAGAAGTAGGTGGTGGCGAAGAAAGAGTAGGGGAAGAGAAGGAAGAAGAGAAGGAACACGGGGAAGAGGAATGGGAGGAGAAAAGGGAGGTGCAGGAGGTGGAGGTGAAGAAGGAGGAGGAGGAGGAGGAGGAGAAAGGAAGAGGAGGAGGTGAAGGCAGACGGAGGAGGAGGAGGAGGAGGAAGAGGAGGAGGAGGAGGACGAGGAGCAGAGGAGGAGCCGAGGAGCGTAGGAGAGGACGGAAAGGAGAGAGGATCTGGAGAGAAGAGACGAGCGAGAGAGCGAGGAGGAGAAGAGAGGGGAGGAGGAGGAGAGGAGGAGGAGCGAGCGAGGAAGGAGAGGAGAACTGCATAGAGGGGAAGGAGTTGGAGAGAGTTTGTGAAGTAGAAGTGGATGAGGTGAAACAGGAAGCAAAGTAGTAGTCACAGATAGAAGAGGAGTCAGGAGCCAAAAAAGGAATAGAAGACACAGGAGGAAAAGAAAGCGGTGCAAATGATGAAACTTGCTCTCCTGATCCCCTCCCCTGAACACTGATTCTGTCTAGAACAAAAATTTCTGGGACAGCACCAAATATTTCTTATGGTCTTCAGAATAGCAAAAAAACTACAGCCCGACCCGCCTACTTGCCTTAGCTGCATGTATACATACATACGCACGCGCAGACGCACGCACGCACATAGTCACAGCTCGAAATAAGTGGGAATTGTTGCAGACAAGGAGAATCTTTAACCAGATTGCTTCAGGGTTCAACATTAACTTTTTATTTCACTAGACCATCGGGCTAGTAACTGAGGAAAACCACTAGATAAAAAACTTTTTTTAGATAAGAGTGTGTCATCGTATGAATTCATAGATGCTGTTTTCCGCGCTTTAAATCGCGCGTGGGCCGAGTTCACGTGCGGCATTCGTATTCTATCACGGGCATACACGAGCGCACGGTTTATCGATCGTCTACTGCGACTGGCAGCAATTAAGCCACGTTATTGTTTTTGCCGAAGGGTAGACTGGTATCCGGCCTCACACTCTGCTAGACAATGTACACGCTCTGCAACAAACAGTGCGGCCGCGTACCAGTCTAGCCAGAGGTGACCTTTCAGTGCAATATATATGACCAATTCTAACATGACCAGTCGGGCTACTAGCATTCTGGTTGTATGCAACCGGACCAAGCATTTACCCGACTAGTAGTTCGGTCGGACGTGGGTTAGTGTCGAACCCTGTTGCTTGCTCACCAAGAAGACATATATAGGCCTTCAATTATGTAAATAAATACACAACATTCACTACTCAGTGGATTTCTCCTATGATTACCACGTATGTGTTGGCAAATGTCTGCATATAGGTACAATAACATAGCAGAGGTCCCAAGTTGGGAAAATCCAAGAAAGGGATCACTTGTGATAATGGTCCATCGCCTATTTTTCGCGGCGCGCAAAAATAGGAAAAAAGTTGTGGCGGGCTGCGACATGTGTTTGTCGCAGCGCACCACCATTTTTTATAAAGTATACATACAAGTGTTTTACATTTGTGGCCTTTTATTGTTCGCTGGAATCAAAGTACATCAACAACCACGGCAAAATTTAGTAATTTACTGATGTAAATTTTTAAATATGGCTGAAAAATGTTACGACCAGGACTTTCTGGACTCTTAACGGGACACCGGGACCAGCATGTCGCACCAGGACGATCTCGGTGAGACCGGGACACTTGGGACGCCTGACATAGTGATGAGCAAACCTGTTTACGCTGGGTCACATTATCGTATTTGGTGGTGGTGGTGGTGGTGGTGGTGGTGGTGATGGTGATGGTGATGGTGATGGTTCATGGTGATGGTCATGGTCATGATCATCATCATCTTCATGGTCATGGTCATGGTGATGATGGTTCGTGGTCATGGTACTTCATGGTGACGGTCATGGTTCATGGTGGTTGGTGGAATGTAGTAACAGGTACTACTCACTGGCAGCAATTAAGAACAAGCCCGCACGTACAGCACACACGCGGCCATTGACTATAATAACAAGTGTTATTACAACTTATTACAACTTATAATACAACAGTTGTTATTATAGTCAATGCATGCCGCGTGTGTGCTGTACGTGCGGGCTTGTTCTTGCTGCCAGTGCTACTACTTGGCGTTAACTTACTATTTTAGGTAGACTTCTACAAAACTGCATCAACTTCAAGTCTTCCGCTGTAGCCATTTCCGACATCAGTCATCAGTACCTGAGTAATAATTAACCCTTACGTGTTACTAAAATGTAACAATAAGGAATGTTTCAATTTTTTGCTCGAGCAACTTGAACTTTATGATTATCAATAAAATTTCCAGTCAGAATATAGACTGACCCCAGTGATTCTATCTTGTGTAGACTAAACACATGCGTCTAAACAGAGGAATTGCTCCGACCTGTGATTGGAGGATAAAAATAGACCCCGCCCACTCCCGCCGCATACGCTATGCTATGACCGGTAGGAACGTGTACTAACCATAGGTACTAACTATCATATGGAGCGAACGAATTGAGTTACATTTTTATAAATTCTAGCTATTATAGACACATATCTTAGCCTTAATCTCTGTGAATTTTGAGTCTATTGAAGCGCGATTAGTTTAATTAATTAGCAAATATGCACGCGCGGCTATGACCGGTGAAACAAAACGTCACGAATTCTATTTTTATCCTCCCAAAATAGAAAAGTGGGCGGGGTCTATTTTTATCCTCCAATCACAGGTCGGAGCAATTCCTCTGTTTAGTCCACTGTTGAAAAAGGACGTGGATTCCGACTAGTCAAACCCGCAAAATCTATTTATTTATTCACTAAAACAATAACGGCAACGATTATCATAAAAAATTATTGAATAATACTATTTGACGAGTTAAAAAAGTTATGCATTAAAAGCGTTTTATGGGGAAAAAAGTAATTTCTAGTAAGTAAAATATAGAGGGCGTAAGTGGCGAAACACCGGGTTCAGTTTTTCAAACACCAAAACCAAAATACATCTCAGAAATATACAAGACAAGTTACTACTCTGTACTCATTGACCAAGAATATCGTTGTTGTTGAAAATTTGACTGAAGTATTTTGTTGCTTGCGGCTGGTTAGCTTGGACATTTTTGTTTTTTGATATCAGCCTTTGGCAGAATATCTTGTTAGTACCACTAAAATGGCACTATTTACATTGAAAAATTTTACCCATGACCCATGGCATGGGCCATAGCTCTAGTAGTAGTAGTAGTAGTAGTACTAGTACTAGTAGTAGTACTAGTACTAGTAGTAGTACTAGTACTAGTATTAGTACTAGTACTAGTAGTAGTACTAGTAGTACTAGAGCTACATGGGCCATAGCCTAGGCATAGCCCCATAGCCATGGCATAGGCATAGGCATAGGATCATTCTAGTAATTTCTATCTCTACGGTAGATAAGTTTAGTTGGGTTAGTTAGTTAAGGATAATGACGTTATGATTATTCTAATAATTGTATTTAGCTCTACCCGTGTATAACCTGCACTCACGCTACAGGGCAAATGAAATGGGGCACACTGGTAAAACTAGCTCCAAGAAACGGTCTTTGCTAGGGTTACTTTTAGAAGACCCCTGTATATATTGACGTGAGTCACACAGCCTGGTCGGGCTATGGTAAAACTAGTGTTATTCATAACTAGCATTGCAGCAATGAATATACCATAAGCAAGCACAAATCAGTAGATATGGTATGTAACTAAACTGTCTAGCAACATATAACATTTACTTCTGTTGTCTATTTACTGCACAATCTTCAGTTCAGACTTAGTTTAGCAATAGAAATACAGACTACAGTGAATAACCTTTTCTGCACTAAAAATGTCCTACACATGGTTGTGGCTAGCCCGACGAGGCTGTGCGACTGATTGTCTATACTGGTCTTCTAACCCTAGCAAGACCGTTTCTTGGAGCTAGGTTGTGGCATGCCGTGGCATAGGATTGGGCAGTAGAACTAGCTCTTCTTACAGGCAGGCCTATAGCTAGTGGCAGAGTGAAGAGCTACATACATACAGAACTCTAGCACTGTAGGTTTTATCGCTACACATCTCAAATGTGAAGTTAGTGTACTGGGAACTATAGTGCCAGAGCTGACTTCTTCAGTAAATCTAGCTAGTATGCAAGTATGGTTTTATTTAAACTAAAGAGTGAGAAGAAAGAATAGTCATTTGTCAAAAGTTGTCATTTTTTGTAGTATCGTACAATATGGGTCCTCGCGAGGAATAGAAATTCAGGTTCACGTGAAATAAATATTAAACTTAATGAGTGGGCATTGAATTAACAAATTATATTACATGCCAGTTTTAGCAGAGATGACGAAACTGCCCCAGAACGATGCTCCCAATGAGTTCAAGATCAACAATGCACCGCAGGACGGCATTTCTGCAGTGAAGTTTGGTCCCACCTCGTCACAGTTTATCCTCGTCTCATCCTGGGACACATCTGTCCGGCTGTACGACATACAGAATAACAACCAGAGGCTCAAATATCATCATTCAGGCGCTGTACTAGATTGCTGTTTTCAGGTTGGTTTAAGCGTGTAAATAAATCTCGTAGTTACATATTTAAATACGTAAATCTTGCCGCATTGTCAGCTGCCACTAGATGTGGTGTGCTTTTTATAACCTTTATTCCGAAAGTTCACATATAATGTAGAAATGATGTGCAGGATGTAAATTTAATGAAGTAAACACAAATGAAGTGCATGAATGAATGAATGTGCATTTATTCCTTATTGATTGATTTATTGGTTATCACTTCTGTAGGATGGTGTCCATGCGTACAGTGGTGGCCTGGACCAAAATCTGAAGATGTTTGACTTCAATTCAGGAACAGGTTTGTCGATTTCAAAATTCCGTTGCTTGTGGAGTTAAAATCCTTGTAAAAAATCTCTCTGACACAAAGCGCTAGATGCAAATTGACCCAGCTATACGAATTCCGCTCCTCCTACTTGGGTGTGCTAAAATTCTAATTCCTGCCCATTTTTTACCGGATATTTTTCCACTACTGCGTCACATCCCGTCCTGTCATACTGTATTGTTTCCTTTTCCTCATCCCGTCCTGTCGTGCTGTATTTTCCTCATTTGATAGAGACGATCGATGCATCACAACCCGTCCTGTTGTGCTGTAGCTTTTCCCTTCTTCCTTCAACAAAGACAATCATTGCGTCGCATCCCGACCTGTCATGCTCTCATTGTTTCTCGTTTTCCTCGTCCTACAGAGAAGACGATCATTGTGTCACATCCAATCCTGTCATACTGTATCGTTTCCTTTTCCTCGTTCCGTTCTGTCGTGCTCTTATCGTTTCTCGTTTTTTCTTGTCCTACAGAAACGATCGTGGGACTGCACGAGGCGCCGATACGCTGCGTCGAGTACTGCGCCGACGTCAACGTCATCGTCACGGGAAGCTGGGACATGACGGTGAAGCTGTGGGACCCTCGCGCGGCACGCAGCGCTGGCTCCTTCTCGCAGCCGGACAAGGTGACTCCATCCTCTCTCCCTCTCTCTCTCTCTTTCTCTCTCTCTCTCGCGCGCACGCCATGCAGCGCTGGCTCCTTCTCGCAGCCGGACAAGGTGACTCCATCCTCTCCCCTCTCCTCTCCTCTCTCTCTCTCTCTCTCCTCTCTCTCCTCTCTCTCTCGATTTTTTTGCTGAACTAGGTGTTGATGATTAATGAGAAAGTAGGTTATAAACTAGTGCTGCCATGGTAGTAGACAGATGTCTGTCTGTCTGTCTGACTCTTGCACGGTAGTATGCTGGCTAAGTGTTGTGATATGTTGTAACGTGTGTGCGTGCGTGCGTGCATGATAAATTGTAACGTGTCAGTGTGTGTGTGTAGGTGTACACGCTGGCTACGTGCGGTGACAAGCTGGTCGTGGGCACGGCCGGGCGGCGCGTGCTCGTCTGGGACCTGCGCAACATGGGCTACGTGCAGCAGCGACGCGAGTCCAGCCTCAAGTACCAGACACGCTGCATCCGAACCTTCCCCAACAAGCAGGGATACGTGCTTAGCTCTATAGAAGGTAAGCCAGTGCAAGCAAGGATACGTGCTTAGCTGTATAGCAGGTATGCCAGTGTAAGCAAGCAGGGATAGTTGTATAGAAGGTATGCCAGTGTAAGCAGGGATAGTTGTATAGATGTGCCAGTGTAAACAGGGATAGTTGTATAGATGTGCCAGTGTAAACAGGGATAGTTGTATAGATGTGCCAGTGTAAACAGGGATACGTGCCTAGCTCTATAGAAGGTATGCCAGTGCAAGCAAGGATACATGCTTAGCTCTATAGAAGGTATGCCAGTGTTAGCAGGGATACATGCTTAGCTCTATAGAAGGTATGCGAGTGTAAGCAAGGATACGTGCTTAGCTCTATAGAAGGTATGCCAGTGCAAGCAAGGACATAGAATGTATGCTCTCATGTAAGCATGAATAGCTCTATAGAAACTACGCCTTTGTTAGCAGGGATACGTGCTTAGTTCTATAGAAACTACGCCTTTGTTAGCAGGAATACGTGCTTAGCTTTATAGAAGGTAAGCATGCTAGGGAATAGCGTGTACGTGCTCACCACTGGCACCTGACCCTACTTGTCGTTAGCACCGATATGTACTTGTCTGTGTAGACAATCCTATAAAAGTAAGTGATTTAAGTTAATATTAAGTAAGTTATCTCTATAAAAGTAAGCACGCTAGTGAATATTGTATGCATGCAACTATGTACTAACCACTAACACCACACGCACCTGACCCTACCTGTCTTCGGCAGGGCGTGTGGCGGTGGAGTACCTGGATCCGAGCTCCGAAGTGCAGAAGAAGAAGTACGCGTTCAAGTGCCACCGCATCAAGGAGAACGGGGTCGAGCAGATCTACCCCGTGAACGCCATCGCCTTCCACGCGCAGCACAGCACCTTCGCGTCCGGTGAGCGGGTCACGCAGGGTAGAGCAGGGTCGCGATCGTCCGGCGTTTCTTCTCGAACGAAATTGTTTTATTATTACCATCGTTATTATTATTATTATTATTACTATTGTTATATTTACTTTTGCAAAATTGTTTTATTATATTATTATTACTATTATTATTTACTTTTGCAAAATTGTTTTATATTATTATTATATATTTATTTACTGTTGCAAAAGTAATTTGATCGCCGTTTGATGCCCTGATTGATCATTTCCCCCCCCCCACGCACACACACTGACATTTACTGTGCCGATGTTCGATCTTGTTTACTAGCAGTAGGTGAAATGTATTTGTGGTATATGTATTCTGTAAAATTACGGGAATGTGTAACTATCTTTGGGTTTCTTCTACTTCTGGTTACGGAATGACGTATCGCGATATGTGCTCACGTGATTGCGTTTTTGCCCAACAGGTGGCTCTGATGGTTTCGTCAATATCTGGGACGGTTTCAACAAGAAGCGTCTCTGCCAATTCCACAGGTAACTGAGTTATTTACATAAATTGAGGTCATTGATGTGATATTCCAGCCGCAACTGTGAAATTTTATGCATCTTTTTACCCTCATATTGCAATCTCTCTACTCACACTTTTTTTCATTCTAATTAATAATTGCAGAAATATCTGCAAATTAAACTTTTTATTGCATTTATTATACATAATTTGAAAAAAATATCATAATAATATTGTAAAAACATAAATAATATAAATATTAATATTATTATTATTGCAATAAATATAATGTTAAATATAATTGCATTTAATAATTTTTAATATCATTTTTTCTAGCCAAAAAATAACATTAAAAAATATCAAAAATTACGCTTCATGACAAAATACGTAACTCAATTAAATCATTTTTAAAGCGTCCATCATTCCTCGCGTATCTCACGTAATTTACGTATAATTATTACGATTTATCTCTCGCACGCGCACGCGTCGTCGGTAGGTATCCGACATCGATCGCCTCGCTCGCCTTCAGCCCCGACGGCACGATGCTCGCCATCGCCTCCTCCTACATGTACGAGGAGGGAGAACAAGAGAACGTGCCCGAGGACGCCATCTACATCCGACACGTCACCGACCAGGAGACGAAGCCAAAGTAGCGCGGCGGACAAACAAGCGGACGTGCGTGCGAGCGAACGGGAGAGCTGTACATGTACGTTCACACGCGGCGAGGGATGATGACAATGGCAGCGATGATGACGGTGGTGATGATGATGACGATGGCGGTGGTGACGATGACGGTGGTGATGACGATGGTGGTGATGGCTGTGATGACGATGGTGATGGTGGTGATGACGCTGGTGCTGTCAGGAGATGATGACGATGGTGATGGTGGTGACGATGATGACGATGGTGATGACGATGGCAGTGATGATGATGATGGTGGTGATGATGACGATGGTGATGGTGGTGACGATGGCAGGTGACAGGATCTGTATGCGTGCATCCCATGTACATCAGTGTTTATTGCATTCAAGTAATGGCAGTCATGTTTAGATAACGTGTTAGAATGCGAACGATTGATCTCAATACCTATAGCAATGACTTTATTCATATGCCAGTGCCAGCCTACATATAATATTTAACCTTTTCTTCGTTACAGATATAAGAATATTTGAAGATGAACAAGACGATGAATTTTACATTTACCCTTACACAAATATTTTATGGGAAAAAGTAGCGATGTATAATAAAGTTGCTCCTTCCCTACTCATTTTATGCATTTTTAAGATTCTTTTTCCCAGCTATTCGTATGCCGCTCACTATTTGCTTGTATAAAACGTCATATCAGTGGTGGGCTTTGTTGCAACTGCCAGCTTCAACCAACCTCTGCTAGCTTCTGCCAACAACTACCAGCAACTACCACTTTCCACCAATATCTACCAGCTTCCACCAACAACTATCAGCATTTACCAACAACTACCAGCTTCCACCAGCAACTACCAACTTCCACCAACAACTACCAACTTCCACCAATATCTACCAACTTCCAACAACAACATCTATCAACTTCCACCAACAACTACTAGTTTCTGCCAACAAATACCAGCTGATACTACTAACTACCAGCTTTTACAAACTTCCCAATAACCGTACCAGTAAATTTATTTAATATTAACACATTCAGAAGATAGGTTTGACCTTTGTGGCTTACAAGTTTATATACGCTAATATGTCAAACGATTTTTCCAATAATAATATGTTGACTTGATATTTCCACCTCGGCCTATGGCCTATAACGTTATATAATGTAATATTTATTGCATAGCTATAATATCGAAATTCATATCACAAGGTAATATAATTAGGTATCTGTGTAGGCTAACAAAGAAGTCAATAACCGGTGTTCTTACATCCCTCTACTTATAGTAGTTATGCGAATATTTCTTTCGGAGCGAAATTTCAAGTTGTCTAACCATTACTTTCCGAACATACATAACATGGTCGAATTAGGCTGGAAACGAATACTGTATAACAACACAATCCATCCATTCGCACAGTGAATTCATCGAGTGGTATGTGTGTACGCATGCGTGTATGTGCGAGTGTGTACGCGCGCGTGCGTGTTTGTGCGAGTGTGTACGCGCGCGTGCGTGTATGTGCGAGTGTGTACGCGCGCGTGCGTGTATGTGCGAGTGTGTACGCGCGCGTGCGTGTATGTGCGA